CATCCTCGGTCCCAGGGCCTCACGGCTGACACTGCGTTGCCGGAGGCCCTGGCGAAAACCAAAACGAGAAGTGATTTGATTGGTCGCATGAAAACAATGGAATGCGGAAATTGAACACGAACTTTTACTAATAAATATGGCTGACTATAGGAGTAGATAGGAGTGTATTAACTCTTCAAAGAAGACGAAGAGTCGTTTTGGTCGTTGAAATCTGCTGTCTATCAATGGAAATTTTATTTTTAATATAAAAAATGTTGGATATTGTGTCACAATGTATTAAAAAGCTGCACAAAATTGGACATTGGATTATTTAAAGATTGAAATCGCCGAAGCCGAAGGGACATTTTATACTTTTATATACGAGATTTAATTATATACAGAGTATAAACAAAGACAGGCGAAAGGCTATGCGAGAAAGACTGTACCGTTAATTGTACAAATCTACAAAAATTGTGAGTGATGTCTTGAATCTTTCAATTACAAATGAGAAAATCCTGATCGTGAATGAGTGTCTGTGTGGTTGTTCAATGCAAGAGGGTCCATGCCATACATAATATTATATTAAATATAGTATATTATAAAATATAAATTATTTTATAATATACTATATTTAATAGACATACTTTATTGATTTTATATCAATTTCATCAAAGGCTCTTAATTTATGTAAAAATATTGTATTTTATATTAAATGTATTTAATAATGACATATTGTATTTTAATACTATTTAATAATGACAAAGTGATTAATATAATAGCTGGAAATGTTAGTTCTTCCACCTTGTTTTGCCTTAAATTTCATGCAATATATAGCTTAATTTATAGGCTATTAATGTTTTTTTACAGTTGACAAATTATATTGTTAATAGTAATACTGCAACTTTGCTACACTGGTGATGAGCCTCCTAATTTTATGCTGTATACATACATTCAGTATTAAGTAATGTGTCAACATCTGGGAAACTAACTTCTGATTCTCTTACATGCAGTTGACATAATTTTTATAAATTATAGTGCTAGATTTCAAGGTTTAATTAGTCACCATAGGCACAGGAGGAAAGTTTTGAAATTTAAAATTGAGGAGCACTTCATGTCAACAGCACCAAATTTATAATTTGTAAACTTTTGAAGAAAAATTGGGCAAGGCAGAGGCAGTACATGGATCATTTCCCCTATGTGGAAATTCTAGCCCCTCCCCAATCAGGGAAGTGGAATGTACTGGGAAAAATTATATTTTGTAATGACCCTGTTTTGTAGTGCTGGTAAATGCACTGTTACAGACAATAAATTCTGTACCATTTCATGAGAGCCAAAAAATTCAACATTTTCATGTGTGAGCATAAGTTGAACATACAAAACAATAATTTTACTGTTTGAAAGATTATAGCCCCCTGTTGGGAACCTGATATTCCTTGTCAGGGAACCTGATATTCCTTGTCGGGGACTTGATATTCCTTGTCGGGGAACTCCTGAGCATCCGGCCTCCACACACAAGCACACTGGTACCCACACACCTCCATTTCCTACACCACTGCAATATTAAAGCACAGCATGGATGCACCATAAAGCTGTTATTTATTTTTTACAGTATCTTTATTAACACACCAAATTTTCATAGAGGAAATTGTAAGAATAAATCATTATTTATATCAATGACACAAAATTGTTTATTTTGTTCATGTAATTTCTTTCTTTCTCTGAGTTGATGAAATTTCTTTCTTTCTCTGAGTTGATGCAACTTCTTTCTCTGAGTTGATGAATTAAGAAACAAACTTCCC